TTTACAATAATATCATGTACTATTTCCAAGGCTTATAAGTCTTTGAGTGGCTGGAATGTCAAGTTTTATACTTGATGTCCCAGTCATAAATTAAGTTCGCCGAAACCATTATATTTATAACACCAACGATAATACCATACCCAGTGACTTAATTTCTAACACTTTTTCATATAACACTTTGCAAAAAGCACTGCATTTTTTATTATCGCTGTTCATGTACAAAATACAATCGCCGAACTGGTAACCCGGCTACAGATTGTCCATGGACAGCCTTAAAATGACCATGGATATCCATGGATATCCATGGAAAAAGCATGGAAATACATGGATAAGTCAAGTGAATGGACAGTGTCCATACTAACAAACATGGATAACATGGACGATGTCCATGGATAACATGTACAATGTCCAGGGAATATAAAAATGTTCATGGACATAGTACAAAAAAACTATGTCTAATGTGGACATTGTCCATGGTCAACTTCATTGCTCATACTTAGAAATTTTTATCAAAAGTGATTGGATAGATATGCAAAAAAAAACTAAGTGCCAAAACATGAAAAATGTTTAAAAAATCATAACTGCCATTCTTAAAAAAATTATATGTTCATATTGGGTATTAAATTATTCAGCATGAAAAGAAGAAATCAAATATAGTAAGATCAAGAAGATTTTTTTTTTATTTTTTTTTTTCAATTCCAAACTTCAATTAAATGATAATATAGAAAAATATACTGTACCCTTATGCATACCATTTCTATTATATAAAAAGATAATCTACTCACTACTTGTAGACTTGTTTAGTTTTGTTTGTTTCTGTTTTTGTGGTTCATTATCATATATTACCCTAATTAAGTTAGAAAAATAAATACACAATTTAATAGAAACAATTTAAATTTAAGAACAAATGTAATTGTTATGCACTTATATTTATTTATTTTTGATAAATTAATTATTATTATGTATCTCTATTGAAGCATATATAATTTATATATTCATCCTGTTTAGATGTAACTTATGTATAGTGATTAATTTCTGGAACATTCAAATTAGCATCAGCCACAATGTAAACATTTATGACCCCTCAAGTGGAACCTGCTGTTTTCATAACTACCAAAGTTAAACTCACCTATCTGATATAAGAGAATAGAAAGAGGTTAAGCAGGTTTACAACATACTATATTACACTGTAGCTCCCAAGTAACTTAATACCCTTGCAGAACAAATCACAGGTCAGAACACTTCTTCCAGGCGGGTTATTTGAACAGAAAGCATTGAAAGATAATGTTTATTAGTGCCTAACTGCTTAAAAGTTATAACTTGAAATATTATGTTGGAGCATTGGAAATTAGACCAAATGAGTTTAAACTGGACAAATTTACAAGAGTTTTCTGGAAATATGAACTTTTAAACATGTGTATTTCATGATTCAGTTAAAATGGAGGGAACTACATGTATATAACCATTTCTGACAGTAAGTACAAAATTAATGTATTTTTATTTTTTAACACTTATTATTTTAGTTTTTTTCAAACTTTCTTTGCAAGTATACACTGTTTCAGTTATTGTATTTCTACATACATGTAACTTTTCAATATTAATAGTTAAGAAAATCTTTTTCATTTTTAAATAATGGCGGGAAATTTTAAATCAGAGATTACAATTTTCCATTCAAAATATTGGTGATTGATCAAGCAATGAATTTCCAAATTCACATTTAATAAAATTCATAATATGTCTTAATTGTAATTTCTTGTTACTCATGTACATATGTTTATTTTTTCAACATATTAGGTTGCAAACTTTCAAGTCTTGGAGTCACATGAGATGTTTCAACTCAAAGGATGTCAGATGGAAAAGTGATAAATGTACTGTTGAATACAGAATGCTTACAAAACATGATCCTGGTAATAATTTAGTTTGTTTTGTTGACAAAAGTCGAAGTAACATGTTTTCATATAAATGCATGTTATTTTTCAAAGTCTGAACAAAATGTTGTTCTTCATGTTTTATACATATATTATTGTTATACTGACTCCACTGAACAAATCTCAAACTTTCAGTGGTAATTAAGTACTTGTGAAGGATTGAGTAATTTAAACTGCCATAACATAAAAGTTGTCATTATATAAATATAGGAAAAGCAGGGAAATAATTGACACAAGTTTATCATAATGTTGATTTTGACCAAAAATGAATCATTTTCATCAAAGAGCATGGTGTTTACTTGATAACTCTGTGCTGATATTCTGCAAAAATCATTTAACATTTTTTACCCTTTCATGTTTTTTATCAATCGTGTTTAAACAATACTAATTATGTTGTTAAGGGCAACCTCGTTAATCGTTAATACAAATGGTGTTATGTTATGAATAAAGCTCAAAAATGCTACAAATGTTTTCAGTAATAAAATTGATAACAAAGAATCCAAAAGAACTGAAAATGCCAATATTACATTTCAGGACCAACTGCAGAGCAAGGTTATTGGCATAACAAGCTACAGTAAGATAGCCATTGTTCTATTCCGCTTTTTGTATAAAGAGGAGGAATATGCCGGAAAATCATTGACAGGGAAAGCATCCAAAAGTGGCGAAAAAAGGCCACCTGTTGATCAAGAAAAGTTGACAGGAATTTACGGTCAGTGTTTCTTTTTTTTTTCTTTTTTGGTTATTTAAATTTCATTGAAAGTTTTTGAATTTCATTGGAAGTTTTAACAGGGATTGAAAAAATTTTTCAAAGCCAATCGTCTTGCAGTGGACTTGTAAGTGTCTTCAAATTGCTACTCGTCCAGTTAGATAATTTGAATTGTTAATTATTCAAGGGTTAAGTATAATACATTGATTTGTCAAGTCAATATTTATATAATTTGTTTTGTTCTTTACAGATATCATCAAAAGGAATTTTCCGCATGTCACACCAGTGATGGTCAGGGAAAAGCTGTGTGACATTGTCAAGCCATCTCGTGCCAACAAAACAGTGGAACAATAAATATGTGTACAAAATAAACTGTGGCCGTTTTAGCCATTCAGAACAATATAAATGAGAACATTTGAGAACTTGTTTTACTTCATATATGGTGTAAATAAATCTTTAATGTGTCATAATTTTACAGCCTTGTCAATTCAAAATCATTGTTACACTAGTGCAACTCCCAAGTGAAAAAGATTGTGTGGGACCTTTTTTTACAGACTTTTAAACAGGTATCTCAACACAAGTGTGATATCATGGACATTGACCATGGATGTCATAAAAGATTCCTCAAAATTGGTTTTGAACATGGATAGAATGGACATTGTCCATAGAAAGAATGGACATTGTCCATGGAAAGAATGGACATTGTCCATGGTAAGAATGGACATTGTCAATGGTAAGAATGGACATTGTCCATGGACATCATGGACATTGTCCATGGGTATCATGGACAATGGACATGGAAAGCATGGACATGGGTAGCATGGACACTGTCCAGGGATATAAAGAATTGTCCATGGACAAGTGTTTCAATACTCCATGGACACTGTCCATGCTTATATCCATGGAAATCCATGGACATTCTGTAGCCGGGAGATCGACATTGGATACGCTAACCAATAGTAATTGCTTGTTATAAATAGTCCGTCTAAATATAGCAATAGAAAAACCAAAAAGAGGTACCAAAAATAGATTTTACGGTAAACGTCATCAGTTACTGTAGCTTGCACGATAAACGTCATCAATTTCTGCAGCGGGCACTTGCAAATAGCATGCGCAGTAGATTTCAATTATGTTAACTTCCGAATAAACAATGCAAGCATTAGGTTTAAATGGAATTTTATGAGCTTCGAGAAGAAAGAGATAAAATCATGTCGGGTCAGAAACAATAATATCTATTGTCTAGAATTATTTTTGTGCGTACACTTGGATGCAAGTGGATAACTTATATGCGTACATGTCAAAATTTATGCGTATAGGGACGCAGAATTCTGCGTCCCGTAAAACCCTGCCATCAGACTCAAGGACTTGTCTGGTAAAATAAATTTTCCCATGTGATAAGATCGCGATTCTTGTTGAAATATGGGAGTCATCTAGGTTTTTATAATTATATTATATCTATGTTAAATTGAATTTTGCATTGTTTGCTTAAGCCTGAAGGGCTCTTAGGTTATAAAGAATTCATTTTTTATGTTACAAGTATCTGCAAAAAATTAATAATTGCTTCAGTGAAATATTCCCATTTTGAGTTACGGATACAATGTATTTCAACTCGCTTCATTTGACATGTACATGTTCGGATAAACATGCACAGCTTATAAATATCATAAAAACTTGGATTTTACTGGAGATGTGTAAATACAGGTTTTTTTTTTCCTTAAATTATTGCATGTTTTATACAAATTGTCATTAAATTTTCACTTGCCTGATGGGACAGACTCACTTGTTATAATTTTTACTTGCTTGTTGGTAATTTAACTTGCCCTGAGCTTCAGGCAAGTGTTTTATCTCAAGTACTGGGACAGTCAGGGAAGGTATTTAAAAGCCAGTGTCTATTCTAGGATTCGAAAAACGGGGGATTTTTATCGAAAAGTGAGAATTTATTACATTTGTTGATCTTTTCCCTTCTTTGTCTATGTAAAATTTTCCCCCTTTCTCTAAAAAAATAGGGGTGAATTCTCAAAAATAGGGGTGAATCCCCCCATCGCCCCTCCTAGAATAGACACTGAAAGCTTGCCTTATATCTCTGCAATCGGCACACTGGGTTAAGGGAGTTGCCAGGGTAATAATTGACTGGTAGCCGATACCCATAAATTTCATTGCACTTTTAATTTTGAAGATGTGCTACTATTAAATAACAATCATTTAATTATATATATTTAGTAATTCTACTGAATCTGAAAGCAATATTCTGATAAGACATCTATTTTAAATGTCAATTTATCTTAATGAAATTTTATCATTTGTAACTAATTTAATAAATCTACTGTAGTAATATTTGATTGATTAAAAATGATTTCTTTTTACAGGCTTTTACAAACTATTTGGACTTGACTGTTGAAACACTTTGGAATGATGCAAGCGGTACCAAAGAAACCAAACTTTAAATGCCCAAAATTTTCAGGTGTGTACATTATTTGTATATCCTTAAGTCCTTTATAAATATTCTTTTTTTCCTTTTATAGCAGGAGCTGCTGAGAGGCAATTCTTCCTCCAAGAAAATTCCTTAAAATCAATTCACATAAAGTTTTTTTATGGAACACAATACCTGCATTTTATACTAGGGATGGCAACGAATACCAAAATCAATACTCGAGTACTCGGTCATTTTTCCGATCGAGTACTCGGTTACTCGGATGATTTCAAATAATATTTAAAGTTTTATCACACAATATCAACACCGTCTGCATGCTACTTTCGTTTTCAATTTTAATTCATAGAATTCGTAACGATAAATAGGACTGCAAGAAAATACATATATAAATATAAACATAAGAAATGTCAATGACAGCATTTATTATATACCTACAAATTTTCTCCCTAAAATACAGGATGACTTTGAAGCGCAAATACACTTCATCGCACAAATACGCTTCAACGGATAGAAAAGTCCGTATTATGTTAGTGACAAATACGGTACCATATATGGAAGTGCGGACTATTTCTGACGTTGGTTCCGGATCTTAGCTGTGTATAAACGTAGCATTTGGAAACGGAAACCAAAATTATAAAAGGCATGTCCGGTTTTGATTCATCCGTCGGTCATAAATTAATTTCTTGACAGCTACATTTAATTTTCTGAAATTTCTTATAATGAAAATCATTTATAATTCAAACGAAAAGGTTTTAATAAAAGGAAAAATATCTTGTAGTAGCTTTCTGAGCCTATGCATTTTTTTACTCAAAATGTAGGAAAAGTGATATTTTGCTCGACCTTCGGTCTCGCGAGATATCAATTTTTCCACCGCTGCTCGTAGCAAAATACAAAGTTACAACATAATATTCCGTATATATTTACGTTTTTATAAGTAACAAGTTTCGGCTACAAACTGTCAAATATTTAAAGATGATTAAATGTCATAAGAGGCCGAATGACGTAAACGACAGGACTGTGTTCAATCCCATACGCGTGTCAAACAGCTGATTGCCTCGTTAAATTTAAGATATTTCACATCTCTGCAAGGATGTTTTGATTGCATTTAACAAGTATTTATAAAGATACGTGTACATTCCCGAATTTCTGAACTAATCTTTCTAAATCGCAAAAAAGTAGAAAATAAATATTTTTTTTCCGAGTAATCGAAAATCAATTTTGTTAACCGATATTCGGACGTTCGATCGAGTACTCGGTTAACCGGTTACTCGTTGCCATCCCTATTTTATACACACTTCTCAAGTGTTGATATCCTTTTCAACGGGTCATTTTGGGTTTAAAAAAACTAGGTCACAGGGCCCAAACATTGTCTATTCTAGGACGTGCGATTTTGGGATTCACACTTTTTTTATCCCCCGCCGAAAAGGCGGCAGGGGATATAGAAATAGTCCGACCTTGCGTCCGTCCGTCCGACATTTTTGTCCTGAGCATATCCGAGCAGATCCGCGGAAATCCGCGGATTTCGTGAGCTCCTGGGTCATTTTTGAGATCGATGTAAATTCGACAAAGACAATAAATTCATTCGTCATATTTTATACAGTACCCAAAAACCGGCACGCTTCGGCTTTTATCGTTACGCTAGCTACCTATGGTACGTCTGTAAGCGCTTTTCTCATTGGTCATATCGAGTCTTTTCCGGCATTCTATTTTAGAATAACCAATCAAATTACAGTTTACATTGTCGCTCTTGTCTGTTGTCAAAATGCGTCAAAATGTCGGATATTTGTCAAATTTAGAGTCCAGGAAATTGATTTTATGGCATACCAAATCATCAGAATCCAGGAGCTTTCGGGGGCTTCGCCCCCTGAACCCCCACCTGGACCTGCAAACGGGGCTTGCGCAGCCCCCTGACCCCCGGCGTATTTTCCGCTGATTTTGAAATTCGCTGTTGGCAGCCCTGAAAAAGTCTTGAAACTTCATAGGTGGATAGACCTCATTGAGGAGGAGTGCAGTGCACAAGAATGATAACTCTACCCTGCATAATTATGCCCCCGCCATATAATGGCAGGGGCATAATATAGTGTTACCCTGTTCCGTCATTCCGTCATTCCGTCCTTCCGTCCTTCCATCATCATCAGTTTCCGTTCATTATCTTAATAACCCTTGCACATATTGAACTCAAATTTGACATATGGATATGTCATGAGAAAATACAGGTCAAGTTCGAAATTGGTCATGGTTCGATGATTTTTGGCAGAGTTATGCCCCTTTTACATTGAAAATAATATGAAATTTTCAGTTTCCGTTCATTATCTCCCAAACGGTTCAAAACCTTCAATTCAAAATTGACATATGGATATGTCATGAGAAAATACAGGTCAAGTTCGAAATTGGTCATGGTTCGATGATTTTTGGCAGAGTTATGCCCCCTTTACTTTGAAAATAATATGAAATTTTCAGTTTCCGTTCATTATCTCCCCAACGGTACAACACATTCAACTCAAACATGACATATTGATATGTCATGAGAAAATACAGGTCAAGTTCAAATTTGGTCATGGTTCGATGATTTTTGGCAGAGTTATGCCCCTTTTACTTTGAAAATAATATGAAATTTTCAGTTTCCATTCATTAACTCCCCAATGGTACAACACATTCAACTCAAACTTGACATATGGATACGTCAAAGGAATGCGCAGGTCAAGTTCAAATTTGGTCATGGTTCAATGATTTTTGGCAGAGTTATGCCCCTTTCACTTTGAAAATAATATGAAATTTTCAGTTTCCGTTCATTATCTCCCCAATCGTACAACACATTTAGCTCAAACTTGACATATCGATACGTCTAAGGAATGCACAGGTCAAGTTCAAATTTGGTCATGGTTCGATGATTTTTGGCAGAGTTATGCCCCTTTTACTTTGAAAATAATATGAAATTTTCAGTTTCTGTTTATTATCTCCCCAACAGTATTAAACATTCAACTCAAATTTGACATATTGATACGTCAAAGGAATGCGCAGGTCAATTTCAAATTTGGTCATGGTTCGATGATTTTTGGCAGAGTTATGCCCCTTTCACTTTAAAAATAATATGAAATTTTCAGTTTCCGTTTATTATCTCCCCAACAATATTACACATTCAACTCAAATTTGACATATGGATATGATTTTGGAATGCGCAGACCAAGTTCGAATCTGGTCATGGTTCAATGATTTTTGGCAGAGTAATGCCCCTTTCACTTTGAAAATGATATGAAATTTACAGTTTCTGTTTATTATCAACCCAACAGTGTTACATATTCAACTCAAAATTGACATATGGATATGTCAAAGGAATGCGCAGGTCAAGTTGGAATTTGCTCATGGTTCGATGATTTTTTGGCAGAGTTATGTCCCTTTCACTTTGAAAATAATATAGATACATCTTAGGAATAAGCAGTTTAAGTTTGAATTTGGTCGTGGTTCAATGATTTTAGACAAACTTATCTTTCCTGAATGTTGGAAAAATTTTGAACTTTCAGTTTCAGCACTCATACTTTTGTGGAAATGTATATAGCCATTATGTTGGCTACAAATATGCAATATGCTATTTTTAAAAGGTTAAGACTGAATTATAATTTCAGTGCCTTGAACATTGTATAAAAATGGTTTGTGTTAACATTGAAAAGTTTTAAGGGCTTTGAACTTAGAATGAAAAAAATAATTTGTGCAAACAAATTTGGAACTAAATATTATAACATTTGAAATTTTGGCTGCATGCGGGGGCATCCGTGGCATGATGACACATTTCTAGTTTTTGAGTTATTGCCCTTTGTTATTTTTCAAAATTAATTTTTGTCCAGAGCATAACTCAAAATGCCTTTGAGATATCAACATGAAACTTCATAGGTGCAAAGATCTCACTCAGGAGGTGTGCAGTGCACAAGAATGATAACTCTACCTTTCATAATTTTTGAGTTATTGCAGTTTGTTATTTTTCATACTTAATTTTTCAGCTGAGTGGAGCATAACTCAAAAGTGTTTGAGATGTCAACATGAAATGTCATAAGTGGATAGATCTTATTGAGGAAGAATGCTGTGCGCAAGAATGATAACTCTTTGCTATATAATTTTTGAGTTATTGCCCTTTGTTATTTTTCATACTATTTTGTTGGGAGCTTATCTCAAAAAGTATTTGAGGTATCAAGGTGGATGGATGTCATTGAGGAGGAGTGCAGTGCACAAGAATGATAACTCTACCCTGCATAATTTTTGAGTTATTGCCCTTTGTTATTTTTCAAAATTAATTTTTGTCCAGAGCATAACTCAAAAAGCCTCTTAGATATTAACATGAAACTTCATAGGTGCATAGATCTCACTCAGGAGGTGTGCAGTGCACAAGAATGATAACTCTACCTTTCATAATTTTTGAGTTATTGCGGTTTGTTATTTTTATGTCTCCCCCACCTCGGGGGGAGACATATTGTTTTTGCCCTGTCCGTCCGTCAGTCCGTCCGTCAGTCCGTCCGTCAGTCCGTCCGTCCGTCCATTCTTCGTTTCCGGACGATAACTAGAGTTCCTTTTGACCTACAGCTCTCAAACTTCATAGGATGAATGGTCTTATTGAGCAGATGATCCCTATTGTTTTTGGGGTCAGTAGTTCAAAGGTCAAGGTCACAGTGACCGTTGGTCAATTTCTCGTTTCCGGATGATAACTAGAGTTCCTTTTGACCTACAACCCTCAAACTGGGGGGAGACATATTGTTTTTGCCCTGTTCGTCCGTCAGTCCGTCCGTCAGTCCGTCCATCCATTCTTCGTTTCCGGACGATAACTAGAGTTCCTTTTGACCTACAGCTCTCAAACTTCATAGGATGAATGGTCTTATTGAGCAGATGATCCCTATTGTTTTTGGGGTCAGTAGTTCAAAGGTCAAGGTCACAGTGACCGTTGGTCAATTTCTCGTTTCCGGATGATAACTAGAGTTCCTTTTGACCTACAGCCCTCAAACTTCATAGGATGATTGGTCTTATAGAGCTGATGATCCCTATTGTTTTTGGGGTCAGTAGGTCAAAGGTCAAGGTCACACTGACAGTTGGTCAATTTCTCGTTTCCGGATGATAACTAGAGTTCCTTTAGACCTACAGACCTCAAACTTCATAGGATGATTGGTCTTATTGAGCAGATGATCCCTATTGTTTTTGGGGTCAGTAGTTCAAAGGTCAAGGTCACAGTTATTCTCAGCAGTGGGGGAGACATGCGCTTTTTTACAAAAGCATCCTCTAGTTCATACTTAATTTTCACCTGAGTTGAGCAAAACTCAAAAGTGTTTGAGATGTCAACATGAAATGTCATAGGTGGATAGATCTTATTGAGGAGGAATGCTGTGCACAAGAATGATAACTCTTCCCTTTACAATTTTTGAGTTATTGCCCTTTGTTCTTTTTCATACTATTTTGTCGGGAGCTTATCTCAAAAAAGTTTTTGAGGTATCAACTTGAAACTTCATAAGTGGATGGATCTCATTGAGGAGGAGTGCAGTGAAAAGAATGATAACTCTACACTGTATAATTTTTGAGTTATTGCCCTTTGTTATTTTTCAAAATTAATTTTGAGATATCAACATGAAACTTCATAGGTGCATAGATCTCACTCAGGAGGTGTGCAGTGCACAAGAATGATAACTCTACCTTTCATAATTTTTGAGTTATTGCGATTTGTTATTTTTTCATACTTAATTTTTCACCTGAGTGGAGCAAAACTCAAAAGTGTTTGAGATGTCAACATGAAATGTCATAAGTGGATAGATCTTATTGAGGAGGAATGCTGTGCGCAAGAATGATATATCTTCCCTATATAATTTCTGAGTTATTGCCCTTTGTTCTTTTTCATACTATTTTTTCCGGAGCTTATTTAAAAAAGTATTTGAGGTACATGTATCATCTTGAAACTTCATAGGTGGATAGATTTTACTGAGGAGGGGTGCAGCACACAAGAATGATAACCTACCCTGCATTATTTTTCAGTTATTGCCCTTTGTTATTTTCAGCCATCAGTATTCACATAGGTTCAAATCTGTAATCCTTTCAGCCATCAGTTTTCATTACCAATAGTCACCTCTTAAAATTGAATTATTCTGCTCTACTACATATACATTCTTCCAATGAGAAAACACTTTCGGCGGGGGATGGCCATGTTGACATGGCTCTTGTTTAAAAGGTTGTGCACATTATGGAAACAGGTGCGTGAAAATCTGGCATCTGAATTGATAAATTTTCTCAAAAAAGCATACAATGTCTAGTCGGCCTATTTATTTACATGAGCACTGGACCTGAAGGGAGGTAATTGTGAACTTTAGTAAAATAAAAGAATTGAAGGGGACAATACTCTTGTTGCTGTTAATAAATATTTTCGTTCAAAGAATATCATCGGTTGAATTTTTTTATGTATAAAGTTGATTACGGAGTGCAGACAAATCATTTTGTAAAGAATAATTTATTTCTTTCATAAACCTGGCTTTGTTCAAGCAGCATTCTGATGGGGCGGGGGATGCACTATTATATATAACCCCAAAATACACCTGAAAATGAGAGTCGCTGATTTGTTCCTATAAAAAAAAACAATCTAGCTACCTTTCAATTTTTTATTAAAAAAAGACAAGTCATGACAACAATTTTTACGCAATTACACTTGAGATTGGCACCCCTTGTTTGCACTATTTTAAACGCAGATATGAATAAATGATATCAGTTTAAGATTAAGACATTATATCTGCTGATCATTCATTTTGTTAACATTATTGACTGATCCTTGTTATTCCTTAATAATCGGGTGAATGATATAAAGGTCATCATCATCACAACCCTTTTGTTTGTTAATACATGAAATGTTGTTAATTTGATCAAATATTTTGTACCTGAAATTATAACTATATTTTATTACTGTCATATATTTCAGTGCCAGCTAAACCTTCCAGTGAGAAATCAAATTCTACTGAAAACAAAGGAAAACAGGTATGTTGTATAGTGATGTTAAAAAAGCACAAGCAGATAAACAGGTGCTGAAATGAAAAAGCTTTTATGACAAGATTGTAGATATGAAATTGAATTAAACAGATTAGTTTTAGTTAAGTATTTTTACAACTTGACAATTTGCATTAGAACTATTAAGTCTCTTTTTTTTTTTCATCACACACTGATGCAGGGAGTCAAATAGTAATCTTTTTGGGGAAAAATAGGCATTTATTAAAGTAGGCAGGTATATTGACTAGAATTAGCAGGTGTGCCATACACATGTTGCAGGGGAATTTACCAATACACTGCTGGGTCATACGTAATGCAACCCCATCTGATAGGAACAGGTCAGGGTCGAATTATTTCTTAAGGATATGTTTTAATTGGCCATATCTTCTAGTTTTGCATTAAAAAAACCCACTGCATTGACCTTGGACTGGGTGTAAGGGCACTAAGGAAAGAACACTGCTTTTTCAACATGCCCATAGTTAAATTGCTCCATTGATTTGGGATTCAGAGTTACATTTCACTTGTGCACAAGTGAGTATTGCTTTACATAATAATTTCCCATTTTGAAGATTAAGTTTTTGACTGACAAAAAAGAAGAAAAAAGATAACTTTATTTTATAAAGCCTTGACATTTGAAAATTAAAAAAAATATGGCACACTTTAACTGATCAATTTATCTTGCCTATATTCATCATTCTGTGTAGGAAAAGATAGAGGCAAAGAAGAAGCCTTTGTCTGTAGAAATAAGAGCTGATGGTGACAGTAATGTTCAATCTGCCACAAAGCAGATTCTGAAAGCTAATCCAAGTGGAGATCATAAGACTGAAAGTGCTGAAATAAAGGACACCTTCAAGCCAGAAGGTGTACCGGAGTCTGGAGACAATGTCAAAACAAGTCTTTTAAAGGTAACCTTTCACTTATTATAAGACTATCTAATTTACAAACATAAAGTATAATGTAGATTATAATACATGGAATTTATAATTTGAAATGGATAAAAAAGATTTGATAATTTGATATTAGAAAAAAGTATAATTGCAAGAAAAAAATAATGAAATTGATGGTGCAATGGTCAGAAATAGAAAAAAAAACAAGTAACTTTATTTGTCAAACCATCTCAGTGTCACTATCTGTCGTTCATCATTCTACAGGAACAAAAAATTGCAGACAAAAATGATGGACTGGAAGGTGACCATGTAAAAGCCAAACAACTTTCAACAACTGTATCAGAGAAAAAGGTATCGTGTCGTAATTGTACAAAATGTATCTTTCTTACAACTTAACCATATTCTTATAAGTTACATTAATATTATCATACCTAATGTGAACTTTTTAATATTGGCCGCTCTGTTAAAATTATGTAAGTAATGCATCCTAGCTGCTGTGAATAATTACATTAAAATGTTGGTTTGGTATAATAACACAAAATACACATGTCTCTCAGGGTGTTATTTCAGTTCTTAGGTTGCTAATATGCACTTTTACCCTGAGAGACAATATAATTATATGTTTTATTTATAATAGTACACAAAAAATATCAAATTAATGATTATTAATACGCTTATCCTTAAATTTAACAGAATAACATTTAATTTACTAAATTTTATAGACTTATAACTTGTATAAATAAAATTTGGGAGATTTAAAATTATTTAAAGTGAATTTCTAAATATACAAAAATTTATTGATAAAGGTACATAATGATTAAATGAAAATATATATTGACTTGACCTGTTAGTCTGTAGTCTATTAGTACATAATATAATGATGTAATTAAACATTTTTGAGAACAATGCTAAATACTACTGGACAAGTACTTTCAAACTCTGAAAATAAAAAACAAGGCTGGACAGTGTACAATATGGAATTGATACAGAATTTTTGAACTGGCAAATCAAAAGAAGAATAAATTGAATCCAATTATGATTTGTATTGGGTGATTACATGATTCAAAAGCTGGAGGTTTAATTAACTACATTAAGTTAAGTAAAACAGATATAAGTATTCAACAGGTTTTTTTTTAAAGATGAAAGTCTATGATATCAAGTTAAAAGTACTGTAAATGTTGTAAAATAAGGTCAAACTAGATGTTTTAATTAATTGTGAAGGATTTATATTTTGTGTATCATTATGTTTCATTGAAAGGTTATTAAAAAGAAGACCAAAACAAAGACAGAGTTCAGTGTCACACCAGCATCAGACATTCAGAAAAATGATGAAAACAAGGTAAAAATATCTCTTAAAATTGGTTTCATTATTTCAATTTTAGCTCCACTGTTAAAAAAAACCCATTAATAACTATCTGCACATCCTTGCTATTTAAAGATTAAGTTTGCTGACTGTAATAATTATCATAAATTTAATTTTAAAAATTTAAATTTGTAAATAGTCAACAGCAGCATGTGTTTTTTTAATTTGATTAAGATATTCATAGACATACATGCCTATTATACTTATTTCTAACAGAACAATGCCAAAGAAAAAAAGAAAAAAGAAAATAAAAGTGTGGTCCAGAAGCCAAAAAAGATAAAAGAAAAGAAAGAGCCAAAAGAACCCAAAACAGTAAGTCTTGAAAATCAGTGTTTCTATTGTTTATATAATGGAACCATTTATCAAAAAGATGAAGAAGAAAAACTGAAGTCAGAAAAGAATGAACAGTAGAAAAGTGATAACCTAGTAGGTTAATACAATTTATTAATGTCTACTAGTTTTGATCATAACAATTATCTACATCAGAGGACCAAAAAGATGAAAAAATAAAATATTGCAGAGATGTAGTGTAAGGTAATTCTGAATGATTTTCCCAACTGTTTGAATGCTAATGGCAGTTATTGACATGGTTGTGTCGTATTAGGCCAACTTTTCCATTAAATACTTTGATTAATTAATAGAACATCAATTTGTGAATTGGCAGAATGAAATAATTTATGATTTAACATTCATCACCAAGAGTAAACACCCTTTGGGAGACAAAGATTTGGGTTGTTGCGGAGAGGTATTCAGCAGCTCTAGAGATTTTTAACTAAATCCTATGCTCACTGGGTGCAGTTCTTTTTAACATGTTATTTTCTATTTGAATACTGTGTACATTGTACTGGACTTTATCATAAAAATTATTTTTATACTTACTCAGTAAAATAAACTGTCAAAAAAAACAAAAACAGGTAAGAAATGTTTTTAGCTCCACTTTTCAAAGATAAAAAGTGCAGTTTTTGTCATGATCCTCTTACTTGAGTAAATTGGTTGACCTTTATGTTAGGTCCATTTTCTTAGATACTAATTAAAAGCTATTCACTTCAAACTTGGTATACAAGTTTATTGCCATAAAAGTACACCATTTCCAGGTAATCAGATGATCATAAAAATATTTTTTGCAAAGTTATACTCCCTTTTCAACTTGGTTTTTTAACTGTGGTAAATGTTTTTGTTAAGGTCCATTTTTCAGAACTATCATAGTTATTCACTTAAAACTTTATATAAATATCCAATATCAAAATATGACACCATTATAGAATGGTTGATAATCTGAAAATTAATTTTGCAAAGTCATGCCCCTTTTTTAAGTTTTTATGCCCCCACAGAGTGGGAGCATGTAGCGTTGCACTTGTCCGTCCGAGTGTCCGTACATCTGTCCGTCCGCACTCACAGGACAGTAATTATGTGGCTAGAGGGACAATAGGTAACTGTTCTTTCTCTTTGATGTTATTCAATCCGTAATGCTTTTATATGGCTATTTTCTTTTGTGTGGCTAAAAAGAACAATAGAGAGAACAATAGAGTAGCCACATTATTACTCTCCTGTTAGAACGTCCGTCTGTCTGTACGTCCCGAAATCTTGTGAACGCAACTCCTCTTAAACTTCCAGGGATGAACAACCTTAATGTGTAGATGGCAATAAAGGAAGGAATTTTTGCCGCGACCAAATTTAACAGAATTATGGCCCTTTGTTGATTTTTAGCTCGACTTTTCTATGAAAAGGGGAGCTATCCTACTCGCCCCGGCGTCGGCGTCGGCGTCGGCGTTAGCGTTGGCGTCACACCTTGGTTAAGTTTTTCGTACCACCCCACTTTATTTCAGAAGTATTACAAGTATGGCTTTGAAACTTACCATACTTGTTCACCATCATAACCTCCATCTACAGACAAGAGTACATAACTCTGTCAAGGTTTTTGACAGAATTATGGCCCTTTTTTGACTTAGAAAGTGTATTGAGCTTGGTTAAGTTTTTTGTACCACCTCACTTTATTTCAAAACCATTGGAGGTATTGCTTTGAAACTGACCATACTTGTTTACCATCACGACCTTCATCAACAGACAAGAGGACATAACTCTGTCAAGGTTTTTGACAGAATTATGCCCCTTTTTGACTTAGAAAATACATTGAATATGGGTAAATCCACTTATTGCCTTAACCCTTTGAGATATTGCTTTGAAACTTTTAATGCTATTTCACATCATTACCCCCATCTGTACGCAAGAGAAGGTAACTCTGTCAAGGATTTGTTTTAAAAATTAAGGCCTTTTATCGACTTAGAATCTTGGTTAAGTTTTTAGTACCAGTCCACTTTTTTGACTGAACTGTTTGAGATATTAATTTGAAAGTTGGAATACTTGTTTACCATCATGGTCCCAAAACATGGGCAGGAGAAGGTAATTCTGTTAAGGATTTTATTTGAATTATGGCCCTTTTTGACTTAGAAACTCAGTTAAGATTTTCATTCTTGTCCACTTGTTGACTTAACCATTTGAGATATTACTTTGGAAGTTGGAGTTCTTATGTGCCATCATGAGACCTATCTGTAAGCAAGAGAAGATAACTCTGTGAAAATGTTTCTTGATTTGTACTTAGAAATTCCTAGTTAAAGTCTTGTGTGCCCTTAACTGTCAAAGTTTTGTTTTATAGGCAAGCACTAAAAAAGTCGAGCGCGCTGTCCTTCTGACAGCTCTTGTTTCACTATATACTATGTAGAAATTTTGTGAACGCAACTCCTCTTAAACCGGATGGCAGATTTTGCTTAAACTTCCAGGGATGAACAACCTTAATGTGTAGATGGAAGTAAAGGAAGGAATTTTTGCCGCGACCAAATTTAACAGAATTATGGCTCTTTGTTGATTTTTTCACTATATACTATGTAGAAATTTTGTGAACGCAACTCCTCTTAAACCGGATGGCAGATTTTGCTTAAACTTCCAGGGATGAACAACCTTAATGTGTAGATGGTAATAAAGGAAGGAATTTTTGCTGCGACCAAATTTAACAGAATTATGGCCCTTTGTTGATTTTTAGTTTTCAACTTGTGGCACATGTAGTCCAAAAAATATTTGACCTAGAGTCATAAGATTGACAGAACAGTGGCGTGTGGGGGCATCCGTGTCCTATGGACACATTTCTAGTTTTTTACTTCTTATGTTAATTTCTCAAAAACTGTTTCACTTTAGACTTGGAATACTTGTTCAATTCGTGAATCTGAATGCATTTCTAAAGGGCAGGTAGCATTTTAATTCATTTTTTTCTATGTCTCCATTTGACTGAATTTAGTGGTAAACTTTTTTTATAAAGGTATATTTCTCAAAAAATATTCAAGGTATGCACTTAACTTGGAGGACTTGTCCACTTTCATAGTTGAAATGCATTTGTAGAATATAATCCTGAAAGCCAAAAGCCATTTTTGCTTCATTATTTCCTTTATTTTTATGCCCCCACAAAGTGGGAGCATATAGCATTGCCCTTGTCTGTCCGTTCGTCCCGAAATCTTGTGAACGCAACTCCCAAACCGGATGGCAGATTATACTTAAACTTCCAGGGATGAACAACCTTTATGTGTAGATGGTAGTAAAGGAAGGAATTTTTGCTGTGACCAAATTTAACAGAATTATGGCCCTTTGTTGATTTTTTCACTATATACTATGTAGAAATTTTGTGAACAAACTCCTCTTAAACCGGATGGCAGATTTTGCTTAAACTTCCAGGGATGAACAACCTTAATGTATAGATGGAAGTAAAGGAAGGAATTTTTGCTGCAACCAAATTTAACAGAATTATGGCCCTTTGTTGATTTTTTCACTATATACCATATAGAAATTTTGTAAATGCAACTCCTCTTAAACCGGATGGCAGATTTTGCTTAAACTTCCAGGGATGAACAACCTTAATGTGTAGATGGAAGTAAAGGAAGGAATTTTTGCTGCGACCAAATTTAACAGAATTATGGCCCTTTGTTGTTTTTTTCACTATATACCTTGTATATGTTGTCAGTAAACTGGGGGCATCTGTGTCCTTTGGACACAGTTCTTTCTAAATTTGAATATTTTACTCTTCTCAAAAACAGTTATAATTACTTCACTTCAAATTAAAGTATTTATTGGCTATCAAGGCAAGGTAAGTTTGCAAGGCATAATTTCAGAATTATGCCCCTTTTTCTTGTTGCTTTTATTTAACTATCAAGCACAGATTTTGTTTAAACAAAAGTTTTGTTAAAATCAACTTCAAAAGCATAGAGATTTAGTTATTTTTTTGGAGGGATTTTTGTTGTGATATAATTTACACAAATATTTATTGATTACAGACACTTCCAGTAAGGTCCTTAACTGAAGAGGAATATACAGCCATATTTGATGCTACAATAGAAAATGCAATGAATCTAAATATTGATGGTATGTTCTTTTAAAGCTATTATGATACTTATTGTTTGCTTGGTGAAGCTTGCAAATGTTCCATAGCATGGGTTTAAGTCTTGTTATGAGTAATAATAAATATTTTTTACACTATAAAGAAGTTATTAACATTTTTTTAATCTTTAACATTTCAAGTCACTTCTTCCAAGAATCAGCTTAAGTAGGAAATTAGATCAATAACATTTTTGAAATGTGCTTAAAAATGGGATTTAATGAAAGGAAATGTTAGAAAAATATATTTCATATATCTATAGACACAGATAGATAATTCAAAAAGCAATTATGAATCATAATTTACTTTCCACTGAAATGACACAGAGATAATATGTACCCTTCCTTATGAATTTCAGAATGGGCTCCTAAGGCAACTTCACCTTCAAAGAAAAAAGAGCCAGTCAAAAAGAAGTACAGTATAACAGTGGGGAAAAAAGGAAAGAAAACTAAAGTTTCTACTCAAGAATCCTGTCCTAGACCAAGTACAGGAATGATTGAAAATACTGAAGGTTCTAATCTTAGATTATTTTTACCATATTTGTGGACTTTTATGTTGTATAGATTTCTGTTTTAGGTCAGGTATTTTATTCTTTATTTACAGCATGTTTCTTATAATTATTAACAGGATACTAATTGACACATGCAAATTATGCATATAATACAACAAATGGATCATTTATTTGAATTTTCTTTTCTTTGCTCTTATTGATTTTACTTCTTTAGAAAGGTCAAGAATTGGTTTTATAACATTTAAATAATGGTTTTAGAGAATGCTTGATGCCTGTCACTTGAAAAAAGTAGCGCTAAATGTGAAATTATTTGTCATAAAAGTAGCAAAATGTAAACAAAGTAGTATTTTGACTTCCATACAAAATACTTAACCACTATAACTTTGCTAATTTCCAGAAAGCAGCAAAAGCAATACATGATTAAGTAAATTGGCCAATGAGTAATATTTTGGAAACTATAAAAGTACACCAAAAATGAAAAGCTTTTGAGAAATAAGAATAAAACCTTTTCTGGAGCATAATGGGGCCTTTAAGGATTATCCTCCATGCTATCCCCCCTTTATTTAGAATGATTAGGGCCCATAAACTTTGAATCCCAGAAAAAAAATCCCACAGAATTGTTGTTCAAAATGAACATAAACAGTTAACCTATGATATTTGACCACCCTTAAATTGCTGAAGTTCTTGAATGGACTTGTCCAGCTTCCATTTTTGGAACTAACCATTGTCGATTTTTGAGAATTTCAAGATGAAAATTTGAAGTCTGTCGGGCAACAGTAAAGAGCCTGGTCAGACAGCATGGATGTTTAAATCATGTTATAAATCACCATTCTGTTTTCTATATTATTGTCAGGTTAGGTAATAATTATTTTGGTGTTTATTTCCTAAATTATCCTACAGTAACATACCTAAAGTATTTCCTAAATTATCCTACATACCCTGCAGAGTATGCATTTAACGTTTAAGTCAATTTTATAGTGTCAGAAATATGATTTTGATTGTTTTTGGTTCTTTGTTACTTAAAGGGGATGATAAGGAGCATGAAGTTTTATTTGGTCTGGACAACAGTGAGATAGAAGACAATGTGCCACAGGAGGCAAAGAATAAAAATGGAGGGACTGAAAAGCATGGAGAGGATGGAGATGTAGACAGTAAAGGGGAAAATGAAGATAAAGAGATAGACACTAATGAACAGGGGAATGAAGACAGTTGTAATGAGATAAAAGACAATAACAGTCAAGAAAGTGATAATGCTGAAAAGGAAAATGCCAGTGAGGATGAGGAAGAGGTAAATGGTGTTAGACAAGAGCTGGTTGATGAAAATAACAATAATCTGGAGGATAATGGAAACAGGTCTGATGCTGATGAAGAGGAAATTGTAGTTGATGACATACAGGACGAACCTGTTGAAGAAAGGTTGGTTTCTTCTAGATATAGGTAGTCGTGTGCTGTTAAACTTACCAAAGGTTCACACTCCTTGCTACACATTGTATGATGAGTTTCAGGTGTTTCAAATAAGGTGAAGAAATCTCAAACAAGTGATTCCACTTGTATCAGATAAGAAATATTTGAAGCTTGTGTCAAATGAGAAACATTAATAAATAAGTGATATCACTAATGTCTCAAAATTAAGAAACACTTCAAATATTTACAGCCGATTACATTTTTGGCAAATTAAAAAAGGGATACCTTAAAAGATGGAATTATTTGATTAAAATTTTAAAAAAAAATCAATCAGGTAACAAGAACAATTTGTGTGTTTACTATATAAAATTTATAGTGCTTTTTGCGATTCATAATTTTGCTTCATTTTATCAGAGCACAAGACGAAAATGAGACAACACCAGTTGGAAGCGAAGTAGATGCTGAAGAGAGGCATTCCAAATGTATTATTCCTCCAGTTAAAAAGAAGAAAATCTCTAAAGTCAACAAAAATCCAAAACTTGAGCCAAAGCAACTCCCATTTGAAAAAGCCAAAGGTTAGTGAAACATTCTTTAGACAATGTCGATGGATAAGCAAAACACAATGCAAAACTAATGCTTAAAATATTTTCTTTTTCTTCATGAGAAGTAACCAGCTTTTAGTTCCAAGAAAAGAGTTAAACCTGCAGATTTCTCATATTTCATATTGGTTTAGTTGCTTTTTATGGATTGCCATCATTCAAAATTATTATTATTATAAACCCAACATTTATTTCATGTGTTGGTATGTATTCATGTATTTGATATATGTCACTGTCCTAATTTCTTAGAAGTGTCAATGGTAGAAAAAGTTATACAGATAAAGAAACAGAAACTTGATAGCCACAAATTACCTGCGAAGAAAAGAAAGCTCTATGATGATGTAAAGAAGCATGGAGCAGAAAACACAGGGAAAAAGGCATTAAAAGAGGCAGGAAAGAAAAAGAAACCTGAGACAAAGATAAGCAAGAAGCAAAAGATGCAAGAGAGAGAACTTGAAATAAATGGTAAAAAATTATATTAACATCCTTAATGCATGTGACAGTATGCCACAAGAGTTCTTGAACCAATTAATACTACTGCATGCATGTGGATTTCAATTTGTGTGCTGAAAAGAATGAGTGAGACTCCACTACTTTGTACAAAATGTTAGTGATTTTAATCTTAACCCATATGTAATGGATTTGCCCTTTTCTGACACAAAACATGACCATTTGAAGCTGTGTTACTCTATGATACAAGTTTTAAAAGCCAATTTTAACACATTTTTTATCATATCTTTGAGGTTGATCTATCTCAACAACTTAACAGTTTCTTTTTTTTTCTTGAATAAGGCACATGGGTTCAGTGTTGTAACAGTACCTGTATGAAGTGGAGATACTTGTCAGATGTCAGTGACCCAACAATCGTTCCTGAAAGATGGACATGTAGTATGAACACTAGTAAGTTCTTGAATCTTTTTGCCTCTAGATGAGTAAATAGAATCATAGCACTGTACTTGGATGTTTTATAATCACCTTCAGTTCAAGCAGGTTAAAGCTTTTAAAAAACTATATTGTTTTCATGAAAATTGGGGGATACTGGAAAATAACTATTATTATGGGTCACTAATTTTTTTTCGTGGTCAAACCACGAATCTAACATCCAACAAAATTTTATTTCGTCTGCCATAAGATTATTCTGTGTCACATTATTTACATTTCACTTTTGGAAAAATAAGCAGTCCACAAATTTAAGAACCCATGAAAATGAAAAACCATGAAATTTCATGCTCACTTAATTAAGTGAAGTCACATTATTGTGCCCAACTAAAACATCAAAACAGTAATTTCTATGGAATTTTACTATGATATTATTATCTTTCTTTTATGATTTTTTTATGGCCTATTCTTTATGTTATGGTTTTCATGAATAAGAATTTCTAAATCTTTATAAATAGATAAGAACTACAACAGTTGTGAAAAGGCTGAGGAGAATTATGATGAAAGTGAACATATCTACACAAAATTTGCTGAAGGTTCTGTGGTGTGGGCTAGAATGACTGGCTATCCTTGGTAAATTGCATTTAAAACTTTCAATTAATTTGGGTTGTTGTGCCCGTTGTGTCTGAGGGGTTTGCCTGTGTAATGGTTGAGGCATAAGAGTGTATCCACTGTTTGTCACTGTGCAATCATAAGAGGTGACTAAATAGGTTTGATTAACTGGAATCTATGCAACTCTTAGTTCCAGCAGGTAAGAAGGTTTTGACCACTAGTATTGCTTAGAAATTTGTAACACCTGAGGTTTAAGTCAAAATCATCTACCCTGTTTCGGCGCCATATGACCTATACGTTGTTGATGCAACAGAAAACCAAACAAACAAGGTATGCTCAAGTGCAACAATATCGTCAAACCTGTATTGCTATATATTGCTCATTTTTCGTATTTACATGTGTCAATTGTGATGAAAAAAACACAAAATTAAAGATTCTGTTAGAGATTCTGTCAAAAATTACCTTTACAAACATTCATAACATTTTTTGTTTTATTAAATATATCCAAAAGGTCCATGTTTTACATCTGTACAGTTCTTGAAATACATGAGATACATGTAAATTGTTTATGATGTGATTATAGATTTCGATCAAATATCAAAGAAAATATGGTGTGAGGGTTCCATACCACAGTATATAAATGTATGTGCCAACACTATTTTTGGAAATATTAATAACCCTATACTTCGTAACTTGTAATTACTATATTGTTGCACTGCTTGAACAATTTGTAAATAGAGTATTTATGATTTTATTGTTTTCATGTAAGCTTATATATGTCATTCAGAGATGTGAACAACATGTTTGATTCACTGGTAAATCTTAAAATTTTTTCATTACTTAACCCCTACTGAGTATTTAAATTTAGGTTTTACTGTTTTCATTCTTCATTCATTACTGTAATTTTAACATATTTACTGTAAATCAATTTGAGTTCTAAGTTCTAATAACTAGAATAACTTTGTTTTGAGTTCCAGGCTTCCTCAAGTTTATTCAGGACTTAAAACTCAAGGGTTATTTAGTGATGCCATAGTCTTTGTGTTAAGTTCAGTAGGTAAAATATTGTTTATAAAAATATTATTTAATATTATTTATTTAACGATTTTGGTTTTTGTTGTATAACTAACTAATATTTAATACTTTGAGGAGGTGACTTCACTTTCTTGTACTATGTTACATGTTTCTATTGATTTATCAGGTGGCCTGCAATGGTAGAGATAGATCCAGATACAGAAACTTTCTTCAGTATAGACTCGGATGACTCCATGATCCCAGTAAGCTTTGTTCATTGTAATAAGTATTAATGTTAATATAATTTTTCTGTAAAAAAAACAAATACTGTTTATTGTCCATAGAAGAGCATTTCGACCATGTTGTGCAAGAACTTAAATGTTTCTGTAGTGGGTTTAAACTTTTTATATTCATTTCTTTTTATTATATGCCCGAAAGAATTTCGGGCATATTATGTTATACCCCCTGGTGTCCGTCTGTCTATCCGCACTACCGAAAAGGGATAGAGGGCCATCTAACTGTAAACAGAACAAAAGAGAACAGTAGAGTTAATTCCGTAACAATAGAGTACAACATTGGCCCTCTATTAAACAATAGAAAATAACAAAAGAAATGGCCCTTTATTCCATTTCGGCCGGAAGTCCGTCCGTCCGTCCGTTAGCAATTTGGTTTCCGGAGCATAACTTCAGTTTCATTTGGCCCATAACATTCAAACTTCATAGGATGATTGCCCATATTGGGTAGAAGACCCCTGTTGATTTGGGGTCACAAGGTCAAAGGTCAAGGTCACTATCACCTTATAACTGAAAACAGTTTCCGGAGCATAACTTAAGTTTCATGTGGCCCACAACATTCAAACTAAATAGGATGATTGTCCATATTTGGTAGAAGACCCCTATAGATTTTGGGGTCACAAGGTGAAAGGTCAAGGTCACTATTACCTTAAAACTGAAAACAGTTTCCAGAGCATAACTTAAGTTCCATGTGGCCCACAGTGTTCAAACTTCATAGGCTGAATGTCCATATTGGGTTGGAGACCCCTATTGATTTTGGGGTCACAAGGTCAAAGTCACTATTACCTTAAAACTGAAAACAGTTTTCGGAGCATAACTTAAGTTCCATTTGGCCCACAATATTCAAACTTCATAGGATGATTGTCCATATTGGGAAGGAGACCCCTATTGATTTTGTGGTCACACGGTCAAAGGTCAAGGTCACTATTATTTTAAAACTGAGAACAGTTTTCGGAGCATAGCTTAAGGTCTATTTGGCCCACAATATTCAAACTTCATAGGATGAGTGTCCATATTGTGTAGAATACCCCTATTGATTTTGGGGTCACAAGGTTAAAGGTCAAGGTCACTATTACTTTAAAACTGAAAACAGTTTCCGGAGCATAACTTAATTTCTATTTGGCCCACAATATTCAAACTTTATAGGAGGATTGCTATTGGAAGGAGGTAATACTTTATTTAATTTATGTAATGTCTTACAAATGCTTCATCCCTAATATAAAAAAACAAAACACTTTCGGGCATATAATGCTCCGCCTAGAGGTGCTATTGTTTTTAGTGCAGTATGTACAATTTATTTTGACTTTGCTGCCGATAAATAATCTCCCCACTGAAAAAAAAAACAAAAAAAACAATGTATTTTAATCCATTATATTTTTCATTCAAGTTATAATTTAGAAAAAAATATTAAGATAAAAAAATGTTAGAGTTGGCCGATTTTTTTATTTTCCAGCATGGTAACAATTGATTAATTAAGTTTGATTATTTTTTCAGACCCATTATCATGTTGTATTCTTTGACGAGCATGTATCAAGAACATGGGTGAAAGCAGACAATCTGAAAATGTTTTCAGGCAATGAAGATGATGATGGTATAGTGTATCAGGTTGGTCAAATTTTTAGCTGTTAAATAAATTATTACCAATTGATTTCTTATATGTAAATGTTAATTTTTCGAATCTATGTGACCTCCATTAACCATTGCCATTATGAAATTATGTTATTAACTTTTCATGAGTTCTGAATTGTTCAACTAATTTTGAGAGAAATCAGTTTCAAACGAATAAAATTCAGTCAATATTGTATGATCTGACCAGGCTACTTCATTTACTCACAGCTTCATCCAGAATGTAACATTATAAATGTGGCCCGTGAGAATATCAGATATCTGTGGAAGACTTTGTGAAAAGCTTTTAATATTACAGCAGTCACTGAAAAAAATTGTTTGTATAACTCGTCATTAGTATAGAATTAATATTAAAAATTATTATTTGAGTTTTTATGAAGATTGTATGTACCAGTAAGAAGCGTGTTGGACTTCAAGAATTAAAAAAAAAATGTTTTCCCCAAGTGATAATGCAATGCATGTTTGGTTAGTGTGATGACATATTTTCTAGATTTCAATCCACAAAAAAATCTTTCTAAAGGACCATGTAAATGTCTGGGAATAGATACAATGTTACTGGTAAGTCTTTACTTTCAGGTATCAAAAAAGGGACAGTCCTACAAGAAGGAAATAGGTGTTGCAAAGAAAAATGCCATGAGAGCTAGAAGCTGCACAATTCAGGTAACTAAGTATTTTATTAAATTTAACTTGATTCACATAAATTATCCAAGTAAAATTCATCCCTTTTAGAGTTAAATTATAGTGTTCAAAATAAATCTGAACTCAAAATTGATCCAAGGTCAATTAATTATGTGGCCATTAATTTGAACATACTCCCCTTGTGAAGGTCCATAAAACTATGTTTACCAAAGATTTTAGCATGAAAAGATCAAGAAATCGGCATAAAGATACAATATCAGCAAAACAACATCTTTGGTTTTTCACTTGCTCTGCATGAGTTTTTACACTGGCCATGGCAATTAGGCAGGCATTTATTAACACTGAAAGTTTTATGCAAATTTTAGCTTGATTGAAAATGATAAAAGTTTAGAGCTGATTTGAACCACTTACTCAGACAAGTAACCTTTGCATATATATCTGAATGCATGGGTCAGACAATGGCAAGCTGTTGTTTCCTTGAGCAAAAATCCTTACACTAACTGTTAAGTACTGATTGATTTCAGGTTTGGATTTGTAGGTGTTTCTATAAGCATATATAGCTCCCACATGTCACAGTTCAGAACTGTTCACTATTTAGGGGAGATGATGTGCAGCCTGACCTGGACTCGAACCCGGGACCCTCGGAATACCGTACTGCGGCTCTACCGACTGAGCTATCCGGCCGCTTACACATCATCTCCCCTAAATAGTGAACAGTTCTGAACCGTGACATACTCCCCTGCTATATGGAAATTCGTCCTCGAATTTCACAGAGTTACATAGCAATGTGAATTAAACTCTGAACTATTTAGTCACGGTCCCCCGTTGGGCGCCAAATGTCACAGGGTGAGAAAAATGTGCAGCCTGACCGGGACTCGAACCCGGGACCTTCGGAATACCGTTCCGCGGCTCTACCAACTGAGCTATCCCGCCGCTTACACATCTTCTCCCCTAAATAGTGAACAGTTCTGAACCGTGACATACACAATAACACCAAAATAAATTCAGTATAAACTATAAACACTTTGGTCTACTTCCTGGAACTATCCAATAAGAAAAAAAATAAGACCCAGTAGAATCAATGACTTAACTTAAATTCCTATAGTACCTCTTTCTTTGAAAAGGTCATCAATAAGGTCTCACAATATTTATATATACAAAGATGCTTTTTGGTTTGTTATTTTTAGGAGAGAATTGAACTGTTTGGATTTGCCTCAAGGTACAAAGGTCCATGGAGCTCAAAATCAAAAGGTATTTCTTAGTCTTTAATTTGTTATTGTCTGAATTTATTATTTTATTCTCTATTGAAAAAATAAACTTGCCTTAAGTAAAGAAAAGATTGGAAAAGATTATATAGAATTTAGAATCAATCTTATTACTGTTGAAGTATTTCAATGTTATTGCTGAGCAAAGCTTAGAACTGAGAACATAATATACTTTTTAAATTGAAAACTTAAAATTTAAGTTTCAAAATTTTTGAGTGTTGATTTGCAATCTTTTAAGGTATTTCAGGCAGCAAAGTTGAAAAGCGCAAGAGTTCAAAGACGGTATCTGGACAAGAATCCAAAGTTGAACAGGTAAATTTTCTAGACGAGGATACAATGGACGATGTTCTAGAGCATACAGACGCACTGCTGGACAATGTCGAAGAAATGCTTGAATCAATAAACAGTCAGCTGGATGACTCTGATGCCGGTATTGTTTAGGAAGTAGATATCAATTTTGGGTGTAATGTCATTTGATAAATCACAGATTTGTTGAGGGTCAGATGTGAAGTTATATAATTAAAAGTTCAATTGGGTTTGGGGGGTGTGGAGAAGGGAGGTGAATGAGGCCTCCAGAATGTGTCTGAAAGTGGAGAATAGTGTTGCAATAATTAGGAGAAGTGTGCATAATAATATAATATCTAAGGGAAATCCCTTAAATAATGTTCTAACTTTTGACCCAACCCATGATATATTTTTTTGTGAACTGAAATAGTTAATTATATATGTGTACTGGGATCCTACATATTACCGGACAAAATATGATGTTTTTTCGTTGTAACTTTTATTTAAAATAATAGAAAAGAATGAACTTTTACCCAAATAATCGTGGGTTCTAGATATACGTAAACATTCCTTTATCAAACATAAAATTATACTTTTGACCGTCGAAATGTGTTTTTAAAGTAGGGCATTAAAAGAGGGGAAAAATCATGTAGACAACTCAATTTACCGGACATTGTGTTTCCAAATTTTTTGAAGTGTTAAATTAAAATTCAGCAGGAAACTACGACTATTGAATGGCAATGTTAAGATACTGGGAAAAAAACAGTATGACACTAAGATAAACACAGCAGCCATGCTTGTTACGAAGAGGCCAATATAGGGGTGTAATTGAAATAAACACTATTAACTCAATTAATGTATTGATTCTTCATGATCCTTAAAAGTATGACACATTTTGATATTCAAATGGAATTCTGTTCTTTCTCATACAGTTTCCTTTTGATCGTCATGTAGCATGTTGTAAAAGCCATAAAGTCATTTTTTAGTACATTTCATGGTGAGTTTCCTCCCATGGGCGTCACCCGTTTCCTTATATGTTTTTAAATTTGCATTTCTTTGTAAAAGACAACAACAAGATATTGTTTGAACGAAATTTAAAATTACTTTTTATACTTAAAATATGTAACGATTGCCTCCTGGGTTAACTTTGAGAAAAATTAAAAGTAAAATCTATCTAAAATAAGTTAAATAACCCATTAAGGGCCTCAATATTCGGGAATGCGCAGAAAAGATTATTCCCCCGCATGACCAGGTCATGGAATAACTAGTAAACTAAAGGGTATGTTAGTAAATAAAGAACCGAATCAACAATATTTGCCTGAGAGAGGATTTGTTGTTATTTACTTTGCAGTAGAAAGTGTGTGTATGATTCAGACCGGATGATTTTGAATTGAAGCAAAAAATAAAGCCTTATTTGACAGGAATAGATTTTGTCCGGTAAACTGATTGTCCGGTAAACATGTAGGATCCCAGTACATTGAAAATTATAAACTTGATCAGAAACTACCTGACCAAGTATAGTGGTGTACTTTATCAAATGATGATACACATTAAATTAAATCTGTTTCCATTTTTGCTTTCCAAATGAAAATAAAGTAAGATACTGACCTACAAATCATTTGTGGTGATCATTTTATATTTTAAAATCCTGATTTGGATAAAGAATAATTTTTGAACCTTTTTCTTTTTTTTTTTTTCTTTTAATCTGAAGAAATGTAAAACATTATCTATACAACTTAAATGCTTCTTTTATTAAAAGCCTTCAATGAAATACAATACAAAGTGATTACGCTTTTTTTAAGTAATATTATGCTTATTCTTTCATTGCCAATATGAAGTGAATTAGCTATATATTTCAAAAGATTGTCTAATTTAATGGTGTTTGACTAAAAATTGATAACCACAAATGTTTAAGATAAAATATAAAACCAGCCTTACTCCTTAATTCTTTGTATCAGTTGAGTATTACCAATACATTCTGAAGGATATTCATAAAAATATCCATGTGCCATGTTGGTATTGGATTATTAAAAGTAGAACAAAAAATGAAAATAAACATGGCAAAATGTAACCTTATTTTGACTTGCTTTTACCTCCACCATTTACACTTGGATGGGCACTGTAAGAGAAGGATTTTATTTTTTCTTTCAGATTCTGACTTTATGCCTGAAGAATTAATTGTTGTGGAAACAAAGAAGAAAAGAGGTACTGTAATATTAAATGATTTTTAGGCACTAAATAGTTTTTATTTGTTTTCAAAAATCAGGGACACAGCTTTTTATCATGGTTAAGTTATGGCAATAATATTTAAAAAAATCTTTGCAAAAGTTTCTAAAAGCAACCCTGATAATTTTTTGTTCAATTTTCTTTTTATCAGACTTTAACCTGAAATGTTATCACAGTTAACCTAAGTGCTTTTGTTTGCAAAAAGTTCAAAATCTTTAATTTTCTCAGCCACAATGTTTAATTTTCACTCATCCTCACTGGATACTTGTATGATAGACCCATATAGGGTGCCCTTAATTTTAAAATTAAGTTTCAAGTTTAAAATTACAGGATGGGAAGTTCAAGAAATTTAATTGATAAAGAGGTAGAAAATGCAACAATGGAAAATAAAATAATTTAAAAAAACTAGAATGCTGATTTTGTACCGCGGTTCAATTATATTGCCTGCATATTTCATTATACCATTTAATCATGATACCTTTTGCTTCTAATTGAATATGAGCACCACTAGGAATATCAAAATGGGTTTGCAAAATATCATTGGTGATAAAACTGCCTCAAAATGTAAATTGTGTAGAAATGTGTATTTGGAATGAATTAAAATAAAAAATTCAGTAACTATTTGAGCAGTAATGTTGTTTTTTTTTAAAAGATCTTTAACATATGATGAAGCTCTATGAAGGCTACAAAACTGATTTTATGCTTTGTTTATTTTCAGTCAGAAAATCTTCAGTCAGTAGTCCAGGAAAGATTGAGAAAGCTTCCAAGAAAAAAGTGAATTTTATGGAAGCAAATATAGAGGCTGACATGGTAACTGATACAAATAGTATAGAATGTGATAAAGAGGTCAGTAAAACAAAAAGAAACTCTAAAATCAAGGCAGATAAAAATGAAACTTTGTCAAAAACTGTTGATACAAAGTTGAAACTTGACAGTGATATTTTTACAATGGAAATGTATACACAAAATGATGATATTACAAAGACTGTTGGAAATACAGTAGAAGAAAAAACCAATGAGACAAAAGATAACAAGACTGAAGAAAGAGTTCAAGAGTCAGTTCCAAAGGTACAGGGAAAGTCCACAAAGAGGAAGAAAACAGAAAACTCAGATTGTAATCAAGATAGAATGAAAGCAAAGAAGCAGAAAGAGAATAAAAGTGAATTGGTTGCACTGCTTACAGAGACTGACAGTGAACAGAAATTGGAAAACCACCTTAATTCTTCTAAACCAAACGAGAATTTAGAAGAAGTTACAGATACAAAAAACACTAAGCTATCTAAAGACAGTACAGACAAGAACTTAGGTGACAAAAGTAACACAATTGAGCTGGATAAAACTGAATTTGGTACAGGCACCGACAGTATCAAAAGTAATACTGACTCACATGTCAAGAAAGAAGTAACTGAAAAAGGTAATCAGAAAGAACAAAATTCCAATTCTGAAGAAAACATTGTAAGAAATGATGGAAAAACACAGGGTAATACGGTTGATAGGTCACCAATCATTAGAGAACTTGGTAATGAAAAAGAGGTACAGAACCTTGTTGGTCTAGATGATGAAATTGATCTCAGTGCTATTGAAAGTGATGCTGTGCCTGATATAGATAGAGAAGAAATAAATGCTGGCAGTACTAGAAGTACAGAACAAAATTTAGATAATGAGTCAGATAGTGAGTTTGATCTAGAGGAGCATTACATGTATGAGACCAAGTAACAGATTGGCTCTGATACAAGTGAGGGAACAGAGCTGTTGTGATGTCTCCAGCCACATGTGGCAGAAGGTTATGAAGACAGCTGACCAATTTACGATCTATGGAAAGAACTAAACGTCTACTGATTGTTCAAATGCCTCAACACATTCTATGTAATCATTGTTCCAAATGGAAAGAACCGAAACAATCTAGGAATTATAAATAAGAAAAAAAATCATCAATTTGCGTCAATAGCTCGTCAGAATGAAATTGTATTACTTGTGTATATTGTTATCCATATTCCTAAATCATAATTGCTCCTCTTTTTAAGATTCCCTCAGTATCTGCTAAAACAATTCTCCTTAACTACCAAGCTCTACATGTACACATGCTATTATCAGGAATTACGTTCTAGTGCAATCTTGGGAACCATGATCCACTACCTCTTACAGCCTGGACAAATCGCCTCACCAAATTACACAGGCTCTAGTTATTCGTGTGATCTATTGGCAATTTCAACTTCAATTGAATTTTTTTTGTATTCATTTTGCCCTTGACTACGACTGCTGCCTATTGGCTAATCGTTCAATGCATGTCTCTCGGGTTCCCACCACAACTAGCATAGCAACATTTTGTTTCAAAAAGTATCCCACATACAACATAGGGAATCACCTTGGAATCAACCCACTGTCTTCTAATTGGCTCAGATCATCATCGCAAAACAATAGCATCACATTATCACTCTTGTACTGTGAACAGCATTATAATGTTGTTTTGGTTAGTGTTTTTTTGTCAATTATTGTTCCCATGTTGATTTGTTTCAACTGTGATAAAAGTTTCTTATTCCATTGATGACTATTTGTTATCTGATCAATCTTTACATCGTGTGTTTATTCAATATTATTGCAACTTGCTTAATTTTACTACATTTGGTTGTATCTTGGCTTTGTTTACATTTAAATTTGCCATGTAAAGTTACGTGTTAGGGATAAAATGTTTTTGGTTCAATCTTGCATTAATTATGAATTATTTCGGTTATGTGTATTCGTAAATAGCCATTAACTTTGTAAATATGCCTGTGTCTTTTAAAAATGGTCATGTGATACTGGACCTTGGGTCATGATAGTCAGTTTATTTCTGGTGTCAGTACTTGGACCATGTCTCTAAGGGCAAACACTCATGATTTGGCTTATGTATCAGTCTCTACAGACATAAATTGTAGCTCAGCTGTACGTCATTTCTGAACATTATGAACAAATGAAAAAGTACTTAATTATGCATAATATCTAATGTTGTATGAGGGTCTTCTTTTTATATTGAAAACTACCTTAAAGATACACTATGCTCAAATCTGATATTAGAAAATATTGATAATTGCTACACAGTAGCTTTGTAAATATAATATAAACACGTATTGACTTCACACAAAGTAGATATCTTGTTCTTAAAATTCTACACACTATAGGTGGTCACAAAATGAATATATAGTGTCATTAAAAAAACTGACAGTTTTTTTAAGAAAATACCAACTTAACTTGCCCCATAATAGGAAATGCAGCTTTCCATACATTACAGCTTATTGATTCTTTTATTCAAATTAGACATATTCAGTAAGAATTTCATAGATTTCAATAAATTTCTGTGATTAAAATATTTTACTCAAGGATGAGAATAGTATATCTTTAATTATTTTTGAAGTCGGATATAAAGATTATTCAGTATAGTTTGACTCAAATCTTTTTTAATGTGTACTGAATTGTATGATGATCTACGAAGGTCTAGTTAATTTTTGATTCACATGTATTTATAATTAATGTTTAATCGTATTTCTGTACTGTACACTACCAGTTCATCCAAGAGTCTGCTGATTTAAAGTTACACGATATATTTAAACTTGTTACTGTTTTGAAATCTAGTCAAATGTTTGCTTTGCTGCTGTTGCTTTTTTTATATTATTTTTAGCTGTAAGTTTGTTTTACTGATTTACTAAATAGGTTTAATTATAGATTATAATTAAAAGTTTAGCATTAATAAATAACGTTAAGTTTAGTTAGTGTTTTGTTTTTCGTATAACCATTATTGAAGACTGGGAACCTGAAATGCATTGTCCACGTGACATCGAGTGAGAGGTTCGATAGCAATGAATGGTGAACTAATAGCTTTAGGTTAAATTTAGTAAAAATACATTTTATTTCTTTCTTTTTTTAACAATTATGTACAATGCAAATATTTTAGAAAAACATTAATAAAGATCACATTTTTGAAAGAAAAAGGGTTGGGACCACAAGTTCATGTGCTTGAACTGATTTTCTTGGTTGCTCAACGTTAAGGTTGTTTAAGAAAACGATTGAAAATATTAGACAATAATTTAATTTTTGAAACATGTTCATTTGAGAAGCAGAACTTTATAAGAATTTTTTTAAGCTTGGCACTTTTATGTTTATTTTCCTCTCTTATGCTGCCATTACTGAGCCATTTGATCTAAGAGAAAAACTGATTATACCTTTAACTGAAAGTGCGCAAGAGTTGTTTCCCTTCTACTAAGTGTCAAAACGGCAAAGTTATTCTACTTAATTCAACCATCCACCAAGACATACATTGTGGTCATGTTTAATTTGAGAACATAAATGGTTTATAATCGAGTAAAGTTGCTTATAGAGGGCAAATTATTGTCACTTGTGTGACCTTGATTGGTTTATTATAATTATAAAAAACGGATATTGAAAGTGGCAAAATTCAGTTGATTCAGGAACTAAATAAATCTTGGGAAGTACTTTTTCTGTACTTTAGCACTTCGATGACAAGATCATCAATCACTGTAAGCAGACTTGAATGTAAGGGTTTGATGTGAAAAAATCATCCATGAATAGTTTTGTCTTATTTAGCTTCAATTACAAAGAAGTCACAGGAAGTTATTTCTTTACGCATGCCCCCACATCTGATCTGACACTACCTGTCATATGACCAACGAAGATACATGTATGGGAATCTGCCATAGTTACACTGTAGATTTTAAAAAAATGCAGGGTGCAAAAACATTAATCATTCTATCCGATTTAACCCAATACAAGATTATTAGCACATTCAATTATCTTAATTTTTTCCATATTTCATGACATATATCAGGATATAATTGACAAAATAATATGTATATATATTTTTTCACATTTATTTTTTTAAGTGATATAAGTACTCCATATTTTACACAAACAAAAATTAAAAAATCAAACAGAGCTCGGTTTTTTGTTAAAGAGTATTTTCAAAAATGTTATCCTTTGCAAAATGAAGCAATGCTGAACTAAGAATAGTAAAAAAAATAGTTTCTTTCTTTTAAAATTAAGTTAAAAAATCTGATGTTGACTTAGTAATCTCTATAATCCTCCATATCAATCAAAGTTGTTGGTCCTCTTGTCATATTGTGTGGAAAGCCATTCTCGTTGACATTGCTTCCGATTTTTCCTATATCACCGTCAACTGCTCCTTCAATTCCTTTCCTCTGCTTCCCTCCACAAATGCAAAGTTTCCAGAATCGCCGTTTTCTCTTCCTTTCTTTGTGATAAGCTTTCTCTATGTATACATCAATGCCGTTGTTGTTGTTGTTAGCCTCGTCCTGTTTGATTGTATCCGTTTGAGCTTTCAATTCTCCCATTTGATTGGTTGGATATATTCTGGTGACAACAATCTCGTTAACATTTTCCTTGCAAAGTGATGCGCAAATAATAAATGTGAACAATCGGGAAAATAATGACCACTTTTCCTTTGCGGCCGCCATGTTTAATTTCTAACTATAAACTAATAATGCATAACAACAACGTCATTGACGTATATAAACATTGTGACGTCATCCTCGACGTCCTTTGTAATATATAGAGGATATTGAATGAGTGTAGATTAATACTAAATTTATTGAACGAGTTGAATAAAATCATATTATGCGAGTGAAAATATAATAGCTGGTGTTCACGAATGAAATATGTTTAAATCTTATATGTAAAACAAATCTTTTTATTTCATGCTTTTTAAGTGATTAAGTGCACATTCTCCTTTGTGACGTGATCACATCATGACGTCACAACATTAATTTTGAAATATAGTTCTGTTAAATTTTGTCTAATTTTGTTACATTTTAACATGAATGATGATGTATGGTGACATCGACTTTCTTTTCCTAAAGAAGCAAAATTTACGCATGACAGCATTTATTTCTGCCTGTTATTCCATTTAGTTATGATTTTCTATTCATCCGCATTCAGATAAAGTCCGGCTACAGTGAAAATTATATTTTATAAATTTCACTAGTGGTTTATCTGAATATAATCATCTGATATATTACAATAAAACACTGGAAAGCATAAAATAAACGGCTTTATTACACTCCTGCGCCGCGGTTTATGTGATAATATAATATTTATGCTATTGTCAAATTCGGATTCATGCTTAAAAGGATATATTAATGAATGATATGTTTGGGTGGCAGCACGTTACTGAGGGAAGAGGATCTGACAGGACCATATATACCAGATTTGTTCTGAATTCGTAACAATACATGTAATATTATCACCAAGTCTTAAAAATATCAGAGTATATTCATTTAAAATAGATTTTCGAAGTGTATTCAACGTTGTTTTTCTCCTCAAAAATTAGAATTTCCTGAAATACCAAACATCTATTTCTTATTTGGCAATTTTCAGTCTGAGAGTTCCATAAGGGAATACTAGTATATCGAATGTCATTTCGGATATAACGGAAGTTATTTTGGCAAATTCCGTTGAATGTTTATTCCGTAAATGGAAGCATCTTTGACAGCTACTGAAACGTCGATTTGCTTCATATTACACAAATTAATTGAGGATAAATATTAAAAAGGCGCACTCAAAAAAGTCCACATGATTAGCAGTTCGTGTATTACTTACGAGAAAAAGGACTAAATAAAAGTTTGAAGACAACTCGTCTGCGGCTAAAGTTATTCTTTGCAGAAATTAGGCAGAAAAATGGTAACATGCCTTCTGATTCATGCTTATTT